ATCCAATTTTTAAAATTTCTTCTCATGCATGCTTCATGAATTGTTTTGTTGAAAACTAGATGTTTTAAGGATTGTGTCAACTCTAAACATCAGAATCCCCCCTCCTCCAGGGATTGTTGCTGATGCTGCTGTTTACTGGTATTTTTGTTCCTTATTGTTCCTTAATGATTTGGGGGAGGGATAAATTCTATAATGCCTATATTCTTTATGGTGTGTAGCCATTAAAGTCTCTGGTTTGCTTAGTTTTTGTGTATGTGTGAGGATACCTTCAACACTCATTCTGAGAGCTGACATCTGTCTTACCATCCTGTTTGCAGAACTTGACAATAAGCCAGAGGTGATGGCTTAAGGCCTTCTCAGATTTTTCTTCAGCATGTGCACAGTGCTACACACGGTCATGGCTTTCTGGTTTCCCAGGAATATATTATGGACATTTCATGCCTAAGCTTTTCATTTTAAGGTTTTGGTTAATTTTTTGTTTGCTTGAACTGTTATCTATTGCCTCAGGCAGCAATGATATTAAACAGCTGACTCTAAAAATTTTTAGCAAATGCCCCTGGAGTAAAGACTTTTTGCACTCTCAGTCAGGTCAAATAAAAACATCCTTGCAAGTGAGGTCTTCTAAGAACTACCAGACACTGTCCACCACCCCACCCAATGAAAATATTTTGGGAAAGAGGTTTTGAAAAAGTTCCTTCCTGTTTTGACTCCTTTGGTGGCTGCCAGGCTGCTGGTTTTCATCATGATTTTGAATTGTTTGTTTTCAAGGATATTAAGAAGCTAAAGAGAGGCAGATGGGAATGCTGCAAGTTACAGTGCTCTGAAGTTCACTGTTCTTACCAACAGTTATCCATTTTCTTCTTGACTAAATTCTTCTTGGGTTGCTAGGCACAGTGGCATGCACCTGTAATTCCAGCTACTCAGTTTTTTTGGTGGGATGGTACCGGGGATTCAACTCAGGGGCATTCGACCACAGAGCCACATCCTCAGTTCTATTTTGTATTTTATTTAAAGACAGGATCTCCTTGAGTTGCTTAGCACTTTGCTTTTGCTAAGGCTGGCTTTGAACTTTTGAATCCTCCTGTCACAGCCTCCTGAGCCTCTGGGATTACAGGCATGTGCCACTGTGCTCAGCAACAAATCAGCTTTTAATCCCAACTATTTTACCTTCTTCTAATTTCCTTAGTTGCTTGAATTAATTTAGACACCTATTTTTAAAATAAAAGCCTAATTTAATTAGTGGCTCAGAAGAGTAAAGAACAAAAGTGTATTAATTGAAAGTTCAAGATTAAAATCTTGAGGTTTCATTATTAGGAACTATGTATATAAGGATAAAAATATCTTCTAATCAGAAGTAATATTCTAACATAAGTTTATCCAGCTTTCATTTAATAGAAACTTCTTCATCTCATATTTACAAGTATCAAATTCACTTTTTCATACATGTGAAAGAGAAATTCTAAATTATTTAGCAATAATATGCCTTATTAGGAATTTAATAAAAGCTGTAGCCTTTCTCTAAGAAAATGAGCATATATATACATAAATCTGTTTATAATTTCCAGAGATTATTGGATACCGTGTAGCCTATAATTTTAAAAAAATTATTGAACATAAAAATTGTGATTTTGATGGCAAAATACAGAACACATTCAAGTAATTATACTACCTCATTTTCAGTAGGGCAATGTTTAATTTAACATTAAAACATGCATTGGTGATGTGCAACTAATAAACTTTATTTCAAAAGTTGATTTGTAAATTATTTACTTAAAATTTATTATATTTTTTTTCTAATAAAATCATAAGCAATGGTTAAAGACTATTAAAATTTAAGTCTCTTAAGTATAGGTACTCATTTTGCCTTTATATTACAATATCTATCCAATTAAATAGCATATAATAGATTCCCTGGTAGCCCTTTATGAAACCTATTTCATTTATAGAAATGCACTAGGAAATAGAAATGCACTAGGAAAATAGGAAAAACATTGAGGCAATGACAGAGATCAAATAAACAACAAACCCAAAAATAAAATAATAAAATGAGGTAAAAAAAGGAAAGATAAAATAGATTTTTAAATTATCTGTTGCCTGAGAGACTGGTTTAATTATAACACATATATTTGAACTTATGGATTTCTTTTTATTGTGTTAAATTTTACTTTAAAACTAGTTTCTTCTTAACACAGGACATCTTTCTACACTCTGCCATGGATGAGGTAATTTTTTGACCCTAATAATTTTTAAATGGACCAGAAGAACAGAGGGGATAAAATGTTTTGCCTGCAGTGACTGGAAAAAAGTTGAAAGAAGTTGTTTGGGAAGTAATGAGGGGGGCACTATTCATAGAGGTTTTATGTAATAAAATAATTTACTATTTGTTGCATATATTATATATCTTATATAATAAAAGATATCTAAGTCAGAATGAAGGTAAGGAAGCTAGTGTGAACATAAGCAACAGAGGGAATGTGGATTCCATTGCAAAACAAACAAACAAAAAACAGGTGGAGGTTGTAAAGATAAAATTCTGCTTCAGTTTTTTGGTTACCTTATAAAGAATTATTATGCTAAAGATGAGGAAAACTATAGTTTGATGCTATAAATATAAAGGGACAAATGTGATATTTTCACTGGAATTGGCTATTAACTACTTTTGAGTATAAATTATTTTATAAATTTATAAAAATTTAAAATATACTTTTAAGCAGGCTTTACAGCTAAAATTATATTTCTTTAATTAAAATTTTTTTTGTAGTTGTAGAAGGACAATATACCTTTATTTTTTTATGTGGTGCTGAAGATCATACCCAGTGCTTCACACATGCGGGGCAGACACTCTGCCACTGAGCTACATCCCCAGCCCAAAATTATATTTCTTTAAAGTTTTTTGTTTTTTGTTTTTGCAGTACTAGCAATGGAACCCAGGGCCACTGAACTCTGACCAAAATCAGCTAAAATCATGAGAAATATGAAAAATTCAACTGCATTATCATTGAACATGTATAAGCTGTGGCCCTACCATACAGGCTAGGTATAAAAAGAGTATAGGATTCCCTTCAGTTAAAAAAAGCTTACAAGTATAAAAGATCAATGGAATGACCTGACCTTGTCTTCAGGACAGGACTTCAAGACATTTACATTGCCAAAGCAAAAAAGGAGTGAGCTATGACTTCAGTGATAGGCTCCCATATGTTATACCATGTAAAGATAGGACTTAAACCCAGGGATATGGATTATATGCCAAGCCAACTCCTTTTTTGAAGTTTGGAGTTTGACTCTCTAAGTGACAATAAACAGAGATTCAGTCTCACACTCCGGCTGAAGATATCTGTCAATAAGCCACCTCAACTAATTGAGAAAGTAATTAATTGTCTCCCTAAAAACTGTCTTTAGCTTACAGATGTAAATTAGGTATAATGATGAGATAAATCAAATCTCTGGTAATAATAATTTTGGGTTAACATAAACAATGAATATTTATTTTAATTATTTGTAACAATGCTTAAGAGAATTTAGCTTATATCACTCCTATTAAATATAGGTAATTAATTTATAAACACTTGTGATTTTTTAAAATCAGAATCTTACTAATTTTATAAACAGTATCAGAATATTTGTTTAGTGATTTGAAGATATCTGTTTGAAGATATCTGTTTAGTGAATTAGGTTTATACAAAATGACTTCAATACTTCAGGTTTTCTTTATAAGCAACTGAGGTATGGAAAAATCAAGCAAAAAAACATTAAACTCAAAGGCAGTTAAAACTTTAAGAAAACAGTGTTTTCCTAGCATGCCTAAGGCCCTGGGTTTCATCCCTAGAACTGCAAAAAAAAAAGTTTAAAGAAATATAATTTTAGTTGTAAAGGCTGCTTAGAAGTAAATTTTAAATTTTGCTAAATTTATAAAATAATTTATATTCAAAAGCAGTTAATAGCCATTTCTAGACTATGAAATCATAAAATATAAAATCTCAAAATTTTACATAAGATTTTTAAAGATTAAAGCACTAAAAACAAATCAGTCATTGTGAGTAGCAACTTCTAAGAATCTTTTATAAACAGTATATGAATAGTAACAATTTAGAGGGTCACAAAAGTATTTAAGTAATGATCCTGAAAACAGACTATATGAAGAGATTAACTTGAAGCACACAGGATGTGAGCTTCTACTTCCCAGAGTAAGATAACTAAATACAACACAAACAAAATAGGCTACTCTTCCTTAAGATTTTCCAATCTAGATTCTCAACTGCACTGCTCTTGGGATTAAAGAGGAAAGGATTAAAGGATTTGTCTTTTAATGGACTGTGGAAAAGCTTAAAGTTAAAAGACAGGCTAATTAGAAAAGTTAATAATCAATTATGAAATATGAATTGTGGTTACATGAAATTACAGCTTAAAAATTTTAAAAATAAGCAACTTTAAAATGCTTAGATATTGCTTAAAACATTTATACATGTAAATATGATTATCCATGTTAGTGTCTTAAGACAAAATTTTAAGTCCTATAAGTCCTAACCATACTGATCTTTCAAATTTCACACATTATACTCTATGAGACTTAAGGCAAAAGTGATATATAGTTCTACTAGATCATAAGCATAAAAGTAGTACTTCACACACTTGGGAAGGCCTAATCTTAGCTTCTTCTGAATCTGCAATGGTCATCCTTGCAATTATTTCCCCTTCCTTCCCATCCCATGTCTTATACCATAGGATTCAAATTACAAATGAGACTCTAAAAACATATATGCCCAGATTTCACTTTCTTCCCATTAAAAAAAAATATAGGCCTGTTAACTATACTGGATGACTTTATAACTATAAATTACTCTTCAAACACTATTTTTAAAATTCTTAAGAAACTAGAATGGCATTAACTGTCTCCACCCACTTCCCACTACATCATACCCTTTGCTTTCCCACCCCCAGATGAAGGTTAGGTTGATAAATGGATTTGGAGATGGAATAAAGCCAGACATCAAATAACTTACTTGAAATCCATCTCTTACCTTCTGTACTTAACCCTGGACTTGATGTGAACTTGGCTACATCAACAATTTTTACAGCAAATTGTTGCCCAGTTTCTCTGTTGATACATCGTCGTACAACACTGAAGGGACCCCTAAAAAACAAAAAGTCAATTTTAATTTATTGACTCTCTTATGTTCCTCTTTCATAGCAGCATCTTTTTATGTTTCATTAGACATACTACATAATCACCAAGTACTGTGGACATACTACATAATCACCAAGCCATTCTATATCAAACTCCTGATGGCATATAGTTTTCAAAGTAAAAATTTAAGTAATATAATTTGAGCATATTTTTCTGTAATTCATGAGGCAATTCATCATCTTAAAATATTATTAAACCAGAGAAAAGAGAAGCTAAGTTATTTACTATTTGAAATCATTTTTTGAAAATTCTACGTAATAATTTTTTCTTATGTTCAAGACAAATAGTCGTCATAATATTTTATATAGATTATCAATACCTTAAACAAAATAAGTGAGGTCTATAGCAGTGGTATTATGAAACTGAAGATCATTCTTGACACCTTCCTATCATCTTACCCACTACTTATCTTATACACACTAATAAGTCCTACTGAATTTACATCAAATAACTCTCAAACCTGTCCACTTCTCTCCATGTTCATATCCTAGTTTGAGCTACTACTATCTTTTGCCATGACAACAGAATTGTTTCTGCCATTCATTCTTACAGTACTATTTTGCTTATTTACTTATTGAGGTACCAGGGATTGAACTCAGGGGCACTCAACCACCGAGTCACATCCCCAGCCCTATTTTGTATTTTATTTAGAGACAGGGTCTCATTGAGTTGCTAGCATCTCACCATTGCTGAGGCTGGCTTTGAACTCACAATCCTCTTGTGTCAGCCTCCAGAGCTGAGGGGATTACAGGCAGGTGCCACTGCACTGAGCATTTTTGCAGTACTATTTTAAAAATGAAAATCTTATATTATGTCTCTGCTTAAAATCTGAGAGGAGGGGGAGGGAGATGGAGATATGGGGGGGGAGGAGGAGGAAGTACTTACAATACGCATACCTAATCAAGAAACAAAATACATAAGTAATTCCAAAATAAAATAAGAAAAGGAATACACTCCAATAAAATCTGGCCAAAAGGCACTTCATGCATGATTTGATCTCCAGCAATCTCTCCAGTCTCACTTGAATTCACAGAGACATCCTTCATCCTCCTTAAATTTCAAATTAGAATTGTTTTAAATTGGAAAGGAAATAAGGAAAGGAAATAATTTCTACCAGCCAAGTCACTGGTCCAGTTGTTTGCTTACCCAGTCCTTCCTCAATCTAAAGTAGTGATTCTTTTTTTAATGTTTATTCTTAAGTCTTAGGTGGACACAATATATTTATTTTACATTTATGTGGTGCTGAGAATTGAACCCACTGCCTCATGCATGCTAGGTGAACGCTCTACCACTGAGCCACAACCCCAGCCCCAGTGATTCGTTTTTGTTTGTTTTAATTAGTTACACATGATAACAATGACCTAGACAATAGTGGTCACAGAGTTTCATCACGTGAGATGATTTTTTAAATGCCAATGTTCAGACTGGGGATATAGTTCAGTGGTACAGCATTTGTCTAGCATGCATGAGGTCCTGGGTTCTATCCCTAGCTTTATTAAAAAAAAAAAGCCAATGTTCACACTCAGGCAACACACATACACATGCACACACATGCATGCACACAAACATTGTTCTTTGAGATTAAGTCATCAAATAAATATCAGAACTCAACATAATGCAAAGATTTGTGTGTGTTTGAATTGACTATGAACACAACACAATAGCAATGTACTGCAGTAGTTTATTTGAAATATGGTATAATTCACTAAATACAAAAACATACACCTGTACCTATGTATATTTTTCACCGCTTTGGGAGAGAGAACAGACAAAAGAATGCCTTCACACAGGTAGAAAAAGTATAGCTGGATGTATGTGCTCAATAGCATTTATGAAAAAAATTCTTCATTTACACAAGGATATTTGTGATACTGCTTGCCTTAGTTTGTCTTTTTTTAAATTAGAGGACAAACAAATGAATGTAATTTAACCTAGAATTAAACATTTCTCCTAAATCACATGAACACCATCATGAGGACATCAACTACACCACAGCTTCAAATCTCTCTTCAAATGACCTAACAAAGCTAACCTGGAAAGAAAAGAAAATAATGTATCTTTCAAAACTTAATGAAAACAAGACCTTTTCAATAATCACTCAAAAACCCTTAGAAGATTTTCTTCTGTAACAATATAACAAAGTGAGGCAGGACTCCCACAACTGTTTTCATTCTCCACCTGGATATCTTACTTTGAGGATTCATTCTAACCATAGCAAGCAATTTCAGGAAATGCTTAACATAATTGGTTTTTGTCCACACACAAACCCTTGGGACTCTATTTATATTTACATTTGTATAGTGTGCTTCAATTCACTAAATTATTTTGGAAACTTTCCAAGATCTGTATATGGGATTGTTCATGGAGATATGTATGTGGGATTGTTCATGGTCCATCGAATCAATTCTTCACTTTTTCCTGTTTGAACAAAGCTGAGGAAGAAGGCACAGCTTCTCTCTCCACCCGTTTACTAGGAGTAAAATTAAGAAAGCCAGAGAGAGAGGAAAGGGAATATTAAAACAACAAAACACAGAAACTTTTTAAAATCCATGAATTTATATCCCCAATTCTTGAATTTTATGAGACAAAGAAAATAAGTGTTATCTATGAATTATTCAAGACTCGAAGACAAGTCACAGTAAAGCATTTTAAGGGTCAGTTGTTTAATGACATCTGGGGGCTACAAAAGTGAACCAAATTTAATGCTCTAAAATGATATTAAGACTTACTTTAAGTTTTTTTTTTTTTTTGTGTGTGTGTGTGTGTGTGATTTCATCTCCAACTTAAAACTCAGCAGAAACTAATTTTTTTTGTTGTTTTTTGTGGTACAGGGATTGAACCCAGGGGTACTTTACCACTGAGCTGAGTCCCCTGTCCTTTTAAAATTTTGAGACAGGGTCTTGCTAACTTGCTTAGGACCTTGCTAAGGTGCTGAGGCTGGCCTTGGAACATATGATCCTCCTGCCTCAGCCTCCCAAGTTGCTGGGATTTTACAGGCATGCATCACCATGCTTGGCATTAACTGATAAAAAATTTAAAATTTAGCTTGGTCTCCCATAAAGGGAAAAGGGTGATAAAGTGTGTGTAACTCATATACTATATTATACTATTAATTATATTTGGATGTCAGTTTACAAAAGAGAAAAATCCAGGGGCTTAGGTTTCAGTCTGGCCTGTACCCTTTTTGATGCTTGAAATTTCACCCCCCCAAATTTTAATTCTATGTATAATAAATCCTTGGATATATGTGTGGAGGAAAATATTGATATAGTTTGTAAGCCATCATCATAAATTATGATATTTTTCATATTTCCACTAATTATGAACCTAGGTTATTGAACAAGTGCAATGATAATTGATAGTATTTCAGATTATATATATACATATATACATACACACACATTTTATTATATCTACTTTATTACATATACACATATTTTATATATGTATATATTTTATATGTATGTATATATATAAAATCTGAAATAAAAAATATACACATATTTTACATACACACACACACACACACACACACACACACACACATATATATTTTTATTCACCCCCTTACAAATACTGACCATTAACTGGGATTATAACCTAAGGTTCTACTTTAGGCAGATGGCTGCTTACAGAAATCTATATTTTTAGATAAAAGGCCAATTAAACAAGAATATAAGTGAGTATTGCTGTAAAATTTTCTAAAGTTTTGAAAAGAATACAACTCTGTCCCTATGCAGACACAGAACTATCTCCTCTAGTTTTCATTTGTGAGAAGAAAGGTTAAGTCTAGGTAATAATTCTGATATTGAAGGTAAATATATCAAAATAGAGACTAGAATTAAATGAAATTATGTTAGAAATGGTGCTAGTGTGTTAGTTTCTGGAATAATAGGCTAGACTGAGCACAGTGCATCTAATTTATTTCCCTCCCCAAGCCCCACTAAAACATCAAAGAGTTTTTTAAAAAGACTGGGAGAATAAGAGAAGAGACAATTGTAATAATCAGATTTGGGGGTCAAGGCAGAAGATGAAGGGATGGTAACTGACTCAGCTGACTTGGGAAGGTTGAACTACAAATAGAAAGTAAGGAAACCAATTCAGAACCAAACCCATTTATACTACAGAATCTTCAAGAATCTCACAAATTAATAGCACCAGATAATTTTAGAGCTAGAAGTAAAGAGACAGTGAGATTAAAGTTATAAGATTTGAATGAAATTTGTTAGGGATTGTTAGATCTCTTTCAACTTTATATCATGGATAACTGTCCCTCCATCATCCTAACAGATTTACTCTCTAGCAAGTATAAAACAGGGTCACAGGGCCAGAAAGATAAGGCCAATGAGAAAGGGGGTACTATACAGAAAGCAAGGGGAGGATGTGATCACATATACAAACAGTCCCAGTTCCTTTTCACTTAACAGAGGGAATGCTGGAAGCCAGCATTAAGATAGATATCATCTCCTTAAGATAGGAGATGATAAGACTTTTTCTACTGAATATCTGAACAGCCAAGTGGGAAAGATGTAAAGATAATGACATAAAGTTCCCCAAATTGCTCAACTAGATCACCTGCCAGTGAAACCATAGTCAACAAGTTGCACTTGCACTGCAGAGTCCTCAATCAGCTTTCAGGTCCTCTGTGGCATGGTTTCCAACTTCAGCACTATTATCATTTTGAACTAGATATTTTTTTCTTGCATGGAAATATCATTTGCGTTATACCCACTGGAGGTCCCCTCCCTCTAGCTATGATAATAAAAAATGTCCCTAGATGTTGCCAAATGTCCCCTGTGGGGCAAAACTGGCCCCAGTAGAGAATCATGCTCTATTACTAATCAGGAGTAGACAACCAAGGCTCCTAAGACATGTGGAGAACAGTATCTAATTTGGAAAATAGGGGCCAAAACAAACAGAAAGAGAAAACTAAAGGAAACAGACTA